AGTGAGCAGGGGGGCGGTTAAATTAGAGCAGCTCCTAGAGCTGCTCTAATTAAAGTGCCTGGAGTGTCACATGTATCAGCGTCCTGGAGCTGAAAAATGGCGATGGGGGCACTTTAACTAAAACTCATCAAACAAACTTTAGTTAAAGTGTCCCCTCTGCCATTTCTGCCACAGAAACACTGATATACATGACACTGGAGTCTGCTGGAGTGTAGTAATTACCATACTGCAGCAGACTCAACTGAGTCTGCTCCAATGCGCTGTAATTACAGTGCATCAGAGCAGCCTTGCTGCATGTGTATAGATGCCTTTAGGTGGTATATTCTGGGTATGTTAGCTGTACACTGTTTGGAAACAAAAGGCTAACTGTTCCTTCCTTTGAATCATGACATTCCAGCAAAACAGATCTTTCATGACACAGAAAGCATATGTGCAACTTTGATGCTCCAAGGAGCCTCCTACACTGTTTATGTCCAAATACACTACAGCACAGCTGTGGAAAACAAAGGCTCTGTTGACTTCTGGGAGTTAGTAGCATGGTGCAAAAGACACAAGCAGGAAACTGAATCACATTCAGTCTGGCTTCCTCAAACATGAACTTGGCTACATCATTCAATTCTTGATCATTAACAACTTTTAGTTACTCAGGGTCAGAAAGAAGCCTGTACAGTTTTCCCCACATGAATAGAGATCCTCTTTATACTGACTTTGTACATTGTCACCATTTGGGTCTATCATTCCACTTCACTATAGAGTTTTGTGTGGTGGACTTTTTCAATGCAAAGTCACTATTTTTATTCACCAGCTCTCCTGGTGTTCATTATATTAGATCTTTTATGCAATGAGTAATTTTCAATGGCATCCAGAGGTTTAAGTACATGAAGACTGAAGAATTTAGTCCAGTTTAATTATCAATAGGTTCAGTATTGGGCTTAACTGTTTCATTATTGAATTTTCCTCCCCTTGTATGTTCCTTGGTATTACAGGGTATATCACAAATTGCACAGCTAGTTATGTTTAGACTGGTTTTCCATATTGAGTAGTTATCTCTGATATTATTACTTTTACTTGTGGAAGTGAATGAGGCATTACAAATATTAACAAATATCTGGAGCTTTCAGCAATTAAGTAGCTACCTGAATATAAAAGAAATCCCAAAGAGGAAGACATAAATTAATACTTGTTGCTAATACAGCTTATAACTTTATGCTGTGAAATCCTATATGACTACCTGTACATCTTGTCTAATGATAGGGACCATCTTTTATTACCTGTTGGTAAAGTGTCCAACACAATGGGTCTCCAACAACAGCAGCAGCAACCTTTTCTTTCACTGACTGATGCACGTTACTTATTGGTTTCTGATAACAGAATTATGATCAGGGCTAAGCTGTTTCCAGAAATCAGTTTCCTAGAAGCTTTACTATTGACTGCTCTTAAACCGAACAGATTGTCAGACTGGGTCAAACTGGAATCTTCATATTAAATTAGACCTACAGAGTCTGAATGGTCTGTCTGTTCTAGACACTGGTTTGCTCAAGCTGTGCTCAAGCAGGCACCTTGGAGAAGGGAAGCATTTAGAGACCCAACACAGAGCCATATATGTTGAATGACTTTCCAAACCCAGCATAAAAACACATAAGCAAAAGGAAGAGAGAGAGAGAGAGAGAGGGGTGGGTAAAGAGAGTTTGCAAAAGGAAGAGAGAGAGAGAGAGAGAGGGGGGGGTAAAGAGAGTAGTAAAGGTGGGCATTTCTCTGAGTTAATGGGCCAGACCACTCTCACAGGCTATGACCAAACTCAAGAATAAGGAGAGAAAAGTGTTGAGTCCAGAGATGCTAACAAAACCCTTACCGAAGACTGGCAGTAAGGGGTTGAGATCATTCTAAGGGCAGTGCGTTAATGATCTGTAACCAACTCTCTAGTCCAGCAGTTCCCAATCTGTGGTATGCAGACAACCTGTCAGTGGTACACATTAATAGATTTATCATAATTACTTTATATGACAAAAATTTGTTGGTGGTACTTAAGGTTGTATTGTTTTAAATTGGCGGTACACAATCTGCCAGAGTTTGGGGACTGCTGCTCTAGTCTGCTTTAAGAGTAAAATGACTGAATTAGAAATTCCTTTGCTAAGCATTTGTCCCTTCCTTACCTGTCATGCTGTCCCTGAGGGGCTAACTAGAAACCAGAGCTTCCACAGCTAGGTGAACTCTTGGAAATGTTCAAAACAACTTGGGATTCAGGAGGATGGAGACATTGGTTTGGGAGGTTGGGGGCTGAAGCAGCCTGACTGCAGGATTGTACTGCCCAACAAGGTGGTATCAGGAAGCGGGCAAGCTCCTTGGGGGGAATCAAGGAGCCCCAGAGCTAGGAACAGTAATTGTTCCCCTGTCCCCTCCAGCCCCAGATTCAGAGGAGAGGTCTGCAAAGCACATGCAACCCAGGATTTGAGTCCATGTACAACAGAATGGTGTCCACCCAGAAACAAGGACAGGGCAACATGGTCACAGTGCTGGAAATGGTTTTATCTAGATTAGATGCTAATGACAACTTTTATACCAATTTAAGGAAAACTGATACTATAAGATGTTTTCAGCAGTGGTTCTGTTTTCTGATATAGACCAGATCTAAGAATTTGCATTAAAAACCCTGTCTTCCACACCTCTGCAAATTCTGAACTGCTGCAGGAAGCCAGCAGGTGAGGTTTAAACTACATTGCATGCACCTAGACTAGTGTGAGCTGCAACAACTAACAGAGAGGAAATAATATTCAGGATTTCTTAGGGTGAGATCTTTTATTGGACCAACTATATAATCAGGATAAAGTTAGACAATCTTTCAAATGCAAGACATTCTTCCTTGGGTCTCTTACATTGGAAAGCTCATCTAACTTTACCCCAACTGCATAGTCAGCCCAAAACAAGATATCACCCTAAGAAATCCTTGCCTCTTGCATAATTTCTGGACCAGCACAGCTACAACATCACTGTTACACTATTGCAAAAACGTTAAGCAATCTCTTGTCCTCTTGGTAACGAAGCCTAAATTTACATTGTAACTTGTAATGTATTCGGCCTTCTTTTTATGAGGGCTGGACTAGAGCTCTGCAGGTGCCTTCCAGCCCTACTTCTCTATGGTTCTATGAATGACGTATGCTTTTCTTTAACTGGGCTGGTGTTTTGGGAGGGAGGGGGGATGGCTTTTTTCTTCTGCATTTGTTTGGGGGTTTTACTTGGGTGGGGTTGGGTGGGGAACTGTTTGTTTTCAGTGGTGGCAGATGACAGAACAAGGAGCAATGGTTTCAAGTTGCAGCAAGGGAAGTTTAGGTTGGATATTAGCACCAAATTTCTCAGTAGGAGGTTGGTGAAGTACTGGAACAGGTTACCCAGAGAGGAGTTGGAATCTCCCTCCTTGGAGGTTTTTAAGGCCTGGCTGGGATGATCTAGCTGGGGATGGTCCTGCTTTGAGCAGGAGGTTGGGGGGATTAGATGAGCTCCTGAGGTCCCTTCCAACCCTAATTTTCTATAATTCTATGGCTCACAATTACAAAGACCACAGCCTTCTCCAAGCTAAAAAACACCAAATTTTTTGCCCTCTGTTGTTTCAAGAGTTGAGAATATGCTGGTGAAATGCAGGGGCACCAGGGGCAGAGGAGTGGGGGTGCAGCACTTGCCCCCCTTTGATTCCTGCACCATCCAAAGTGTTTTACTGCCTGGCTCTGGCAGTGCTGAGAGATCACTTGACTTCATGGATCATGATAATCTACCTCAGCGGTTCCCAATCTGTGGTATGCATACCACCAGTGGTACACAGACCTGTCAGTGGTACGTATTAACAGATTTATTATAATGACTTTATATGACAAAAATTTGCTGGTGGTACTTAAGGTTGTATCATTTTAAATTGGTGGTGTGCAATCTGTCTGAGTTTGGAAACTGCTGATCTCCCTGATCCCTTCTAAACGCTTCATTCCCCAGGTGTTAACCTTGCTCTCTGCTTTGTAATGGTCCTGGGGCTGCACAAATGAAGTTCAAAACGTTGTTCTGCCCTACAAGCTCCTCTCTCACAGTCCCACAGCCGGTTTGGAAGTCTGGCTGCAAACAGGCAAGGCTGTTTTGAGTAGATGCGATATCCTTTATTAGACCAACTGAGTAGTTGGAAAAAATCTTTCTAATTTCCAGCTATTTCCTTTTTCACAGACAGCCTTCTTTTTACCTTGAATGACTACTACTGCAGTCTCCTTACTCACCTTTGGCTCCCCCCCCCCTTGCTCTTTTTCCTCCTCCCCTCCCTGCTCTACCTTTCATTTTCCTAATTTGCACCTACTTACATTCTCACTGACATCCCATCACACTTTTAGCTTCTTTCATTTCTTGGAGTCTCAGACCAGCAGATATGCTCCATGCCTGAAGAAGAGTGATTGTGCCCAATAACTTGCTAAGAACTTTTTCCCAACTACTCACTTGGTCTAATAAAAGATGTCCCCTCTGCCCCCAAAACCTTGCTGCCTGTGTCCTTAGACCAACACGGCTACAACCAACAACCCAGCAGCTACAAACAGGAGCTGAGGACACGGGCCCGCGGGGCCTGAGGCAGCCCCTGGGGCTCCGCCCCGACGTCACAGAGCAGGGAATGGCCCGTCTCTGACATCACAAAGCAGAGACTGGGCCGGTCCCGACGTCACAGAGCAGAGAACGGGCTGGTCCCGACGTCACAGAGTAGGGAACGGGCCCGTCCCCGACGTCACAGGGCCGGTCCCGACGTCACAGAGCAAGGAACGAGGCGGTCCCGACGTCACAGAGCCGGGAACGGGCGGGTGCCGACGTCACAGAGCAGGGAAGGAGCCGGTCCCGGGACGCTCCGACGTGTGGCCCGCGCTTCGGGCCCGGCCCCGGCCTCGCGGGCGCTCCTGGCTGCTCTCCCAGGGGAGCCCGGGGCGGCCCCTCGCCACGTGCGCCCCTTCCAGG